TATTTTATTTTATTTTTTTCATTTTTCTTTTATTATTCATATGTGCATACAAGGCTTGCTTCTTTTTAACAGTGGCAATCTCTTTAGCAACTGTACCTTTCTCGACTGCACCTTTACCGGCCAAGCTGCATTTTCCAAATCTTTCTGTGCTATTCTGCTTTGCTCCCAATTCCAAGTACACATTTGAGTAAAAGTAGTCAGTAATACCCAAGTCACTGCTCAAGTGCTATGCTACCTTTAGTTTCTTCTACCAAATAATTGTGTCTATCCCCTTGAAGCTTAGCCTTCTACAAAGTCCCAGGGCATAAGCACAGTGCATCTAAATTCCTTATGGTGTTACAACAGTGGTCCTTAGTCCATTTCCCTATAGAGTCCTCATTTCTGCCTGAAGTCTCATCAGTACAGCGCTTACTCTCTGCATTTCTATCAGCATTCTGGTTTTCTGAGACCTCCTCAGAACCACCCACTAAACTCCACTTATAGCATTCTAGACTTTTTCTAGTTTGCTTCTCCAAACTTTTCCACACTCCTCCAGTTCCAAATGTACTTCCACATTGCCAGGCATAGTGACAGCAGTAACTTCTTTTCTCAGCACCAGTTTCCTGTGTTAGATTTCCATGACTATAGCAAATACCTGAGACAACCAACTTATAAAGAGATAAGGTTTATTTTAGTTCACAGTTCTGGAGGTTTCAGTCTGTGCTTAGTTGGTCCCATTGCTTTTGGTCCTGTGGTAAGGCAATACATCATAACAGGGAGTACATGGCAGAGCAAAGCCAGTCATCTCATGGCTAGGATGAGAAAAAGGGGGGAAAAGGAAGGGTCCGGAGTCTAACTATCCCCTACAGCTGTATGCTTCCTATGATTAGAAGACCTTCTACTGGGCCCCACCTCTTAAAGATTCTACTGCCTCCCACAGTGCCATCCTGGGGACTAAACATTTAACACATGGGCCTTTGGGGCACATTTAAGATCCAAAGTGTAGCAACCACCCCAAGAGAGTTTTCTATCCCCATCACACGAGTAAACAGAAGCACAAATTCCTATAGCTAAGTGGCAGCATTTAGACTAGTAACCAGGTCACCTGACTGTTAAAAATTATATTTTTACCTGATTGTTCAAATCTAATCAGTATCTACTTGAAATTTAATCACTGTCTACTTGAAACTGTGGAGTCTTGGCTTGTGCATAAGAATTATATTAGGAAAACATTCAGAGTCCTAGGCCATGGTATGTGAGAGGAAAGGGGCTCTCAGATATCATTAGACCACAGTGCCTGGGCCACCTTACCACCTCATTCTTTTTTTCTTTTATTTATTTTTTATTTTATTTTATTCATATGTGCATACAATGTTTGGGTCATTTCTCCCCCCTTACCCTCACTCCCTCCCTAAAACCCCCCTACCCTCGCTCCCTCCCAACTCCTCACTACCAGGCAGAAACTATTTTACCCTTATCTCTAGTTTTGTTGTAGAGAGAGTATAAGCAATAATAGGAAGGAACAAGGGTTTTTGCTAGTTGAGATAAGGATAGCTATACAGGGAGTTGACTTGCATTGCTTTCCTGTACATGTGTATTACCTTCTAAGTTAATTCTTCTTCAACTAACCTTTTCTCTAGTTCCTGGTCCCCTTCTCCTATTGGCCTCAGTTGCTTTAAAGTATCTGCTTTAGTTTCTTGCATTGAGGGCAAGAAATGCTGTCTAGTTTTTTGGGTGTCTTCCCTATCCTCATACCTCCCTTGTGTGCTCTCGCTTTATCATGTGATCATAGTCCAATCCCCTTGTTGTGTTTGCCTTTGATCTAATGTCCACATATGAGGGAGAACATACGATTTTTGGTCTTTTGGGCCAGGCTAACCTCACTCAGAATGATGTTCTCCAATTCCATCCATTTACCAGCGAATGATAACATTTCGTTCTTCTTCATGGCTGCATAAAATTCCATTGTGTATAGATACCACATTTTCTTAATCCATTCGTCAGTAGTGGGGCATCTTGGCTGTTTCCATAACTTGGCTTTTGTGAATAGTGCTGCAATAAACATGGGTGTGCAGGTGCCTCTGGAGTAACCTGTGTCACAGTCTTTTGGGTATATCCCCAAGAGTGGTATTGCTGGATCAAATGGTAGATCGATGTTTAGCTTTTTAAGTAGCCTCCAAATTTTTTCCAGAGTGGTTGTACTAGTTTACATTCCCACCAACAGTGTAAGAGGGTTCCCTTTTCCCTGCATCCTCGCCAACACCTGTTGTTGGTGGTGTTGCTGATGATGGCTATTCTAACAGAGGTGAGGTGGAATCTTAGTGTGGTTTTAATTTTCATTTCCTTTATTGCTAGAGATGGTGAGCATTTTTTCATGTGATTTTTTCCAGAGTGGTTGTACTAGTTTACATTCCCACCAGCAGTGTAAGAGGGTTCCTTTTCCCCCAAATCCTCGCCAACACCTATTGTTAGTGGTGTTGCTGATGATGGCTATTCTAACAGGGTTACCACCCTCATTCTGCAATTCAACCAGTATGTGTTGAGGGGTTGCTCTGTGCCAGGGTATCTGTAGATCAGAAAGAGAGACAAGGTCCTTCCTTGTGGAACTTGTGTTCTAATAATGTAAAGAACCAACCAACAAAAAAACAAACATAGTAATTTCAGATTGTGTTCAGTGCTGGGAAGGAAGAAATAGTGAGAGGAGAATAATTAGGGGATGGGGCACTTCATTACAAAAAGGCAGTCAGGGAACTTGTCTTTGATCTTGGCACCTCTCAAAGCACTGGACATATTACACGTCCTAAAAAACTGTTAGCTTCTATCCTCAAGTACCTGGCACAGACCTGGTTTACTTGCCCCTAAGTTATGGCTGTGTGGGAAAAAAATGGTCTTTTCTTCTATGCAGCCTAAATGGTCTAAAAACCTGTAGTAAGTGTATTAATTTACTTTTATTGCTTACTAAATTGCCACAAACTTAGTGCCTTCAAACAATGTACATCTATTACTTTATAGTTCTGGAGGTCAAAAATTCTAAAATAAAGGTTTGAGTGTTGTAGGCTCATGCAGTCTCTGATCAGAAGATTCTCAAATTCTTTGCATCCCACATGGAAGCATCCAGGCAGGAAACATGGATGTACTAAAAGAGGGTAATAGACTTCATTAAAGGTTAGGGGACAAAGTTACCAACAGTCATGAGGGGCCAGGTATGAGGTGGAAGCAGAGAGAGCTCTTCCTGTTTCTAGGTGCTCTGAAAATCTGTGCTAACCTATGGGTGGGGAAAACTTGGGCAGTTCTTGGTCACCAATAATTGATGAGTGGGGAGGGGTCTGGGTGGTCCTCTGGCTAGGACTTGGGCTACCCATGGACTAAGGTGTGAACAATCTGCACATATTTGCAATTGAAAAGAAGGTTCAGAGAGAGAGGAAATGTTCAATCTGGAACACAGTGTTAAGTCATATATGTTTTAAGAGTCCTGGCCTGCCTCATGAGCACCCTGTGTTATTCCTACAGTCTGCAGAAAGTTCACTTTCTTTCCTTTTCTATTTTCTAAAGGCCACCTTGCATTCCTTGGCTTGTGGCCCTGTTTTCCAGTTCAAAGCCAATAGCATAGCATTTCCAGTCCTTCCCTCTGATGCTAACTACCTGCCTCCTGCTTCTAAAGACTTCTATAATTCCATTGGTCCTACTCCTGTAATCCAGGCAAAGGTCCCTGTTTGAGATCATTGGCTTAATCACATCTGCAGACCTTTAGTGATGTAAGGTAGCATATTCAAGGTTGCAGAGATTAGATCACCTTTGGGAGTCATGATTCAGCCTATTACTGTAGGCAGTAAATGTTAATTTTATTCTCGTGTGCATTCATTTTAATTTGTAGGTGAAAAAGTTGAAAAGTTGAATGAATTGCCTAAAGTCACATGCTTGGCTATAGCTCTAGAACCCAACTACATAGGTCATCTCTCTCTTCTCCATACCAAACCTCACTTTTTCTGCTATCACACTCACAGTTATTTGGTTTGTTCTCTTCCTGCCACAAAGGCAGAAGGCATGTCACTAGAATATGACTATCATATGACTCTGTGCTTGACACATTGTGCACATCTCTAAAACATTTTGAATTAAAAATGAATACTCTATGATGTGCCTGGGTAAGAAGAGCCCAGTCTCCCATAAATTCTTTTGTGCAATAGCTTCTAGCAAGTGAAAGACACCTGGCCATTTTATAATTAAGCAAAGAAAAAGGGAACTGCAATGTTGGCCCATAATTCGTATTGGCATAGAAGGGACACCCACCTGGCAGCACACTCTCCTCTCCATTGGCATTCAAGTTTGTTATTTGGTGTGCTGCAAGGCATTGTGCATTTGAATTTGGTAGTCTGTACCTGGAACTCTGACATATAGCCCTTTATTTATACCAATGTGGTATTAACATTGACAGCATTTTGGGAGAGTCCTTGATGACACTTCATTATTTCAATTCATCATCAGGGAAGAAAGAAGGCAAGCTTCGTTATTACACTAGGTTTTCTCTATTTGACCTTAGAGAAGTAACAAAGGAACACAAAGGATCACTAAATCATGCAAGAGGCACTTTTATGGTTTCACTTATCAAGTTGTGTGGCACCTAAGTGGAAAAAAATTAAAACAACAAACATGTATAACTCATCTCCGACCTAGAGAGTGAGTTTTTGTAAGTCTTAACTGAAAGTACCCAGGCTAAAGTATGTGAAGAAAAGTTAGACAAACATATGCTCCTTCTACCATGGAAGATAAATTACATTTATGTTATGATAGACTTTACTTTGCTTCACATTTTAATTTTTCCTAATGAGAACACTCACCATTTGGTCAAATATAGTCTACATTGCACATCTTTTCTCTTAGGAAATGGTATACCTGTCACTCAAGGTGTTATGGGAACTTCAAGCGCATATGAAGCCAAAGGGAAGTGTCTTCTCTTTCAGAGTTCATTTCAAGATCCCAGATTCTCAGCCCCACTTTTAATGTATGTACTTTGGTTCTAGTGGCCAAGGATGTCAATATTCTTTTTGATGAACTAGAAGCTGCCAACAGTCCTTGCAAAGATGACGATTCTCTGCTTCACCCTGGAAACCTGACCAGCACTTCAGAGGACGCCAGCCGATTAGAAGCAGGGGGAGAGGTAAGATGGATGATTTCCTAAAGCCATAATTATTAATTTTTTTTTTTGGTGGCATGGCTTTGTGCTTGCTAGGCAGGCACTCTACCACTTGAGCCACACCTCCAGACTTTGTGCTCTGTTTATTTGGAGATAAGGTCTTGTTTTTCTCTCAGGCTGGCCTGGATGTGGTCCTCTTATTTTAAGCTTCCCACTGTCACTGAGATGACAGCATGCACTACTACATCCAGCTTTTTCCATTGAGATGAAGTCTTACAAACATTTTTGCTCACTTTGGCCTGAAATTGTGATCCCCCCAATCTCAGCCTCTCACCTAGCTTGGGATGACAGGCACATGCCACCACACCCAGCTGTTGGTTGGAATGGGGTCTCATGAGCTCCCTGCCTGGGCTGGTCTCTAATAGCGGTCTAGATCTCAGCCTCCTAAGTAACTTGGATTACAGGCAGGAGCCACTGGCACCTAGATAAAACTGTAATTCTTAATTCAAGTGGGAACCTGTGAAACATGTTCCACTGCACTATTTAAAGTCATGATTTCATTAAAATGCAGGGAAACAAGGGGTAGATTTTATTATATATGTATGTATATATTCATATTTACTTACATATTTACTTATTCATTTATGCCCTCTATGAATCTAGCCCATTTCAGAAATCCTAAATGTAACTATGCTTAATGGATCACACACGTACCTTCTTAAACCTAGAGTTATTTTATTTATACAAAGATTCCTAAAACCGCCCATCATTTTAAGATCCACAGTTGGGTGCCACTAACCAGTTGACTCTTTACAAGGATGGACTTCCTTGTGTAAATCTCCCTGCGTATAGAACAGTGCCATAAAATGCACTGACCTTTAGTGAATGTGTTGTCTGAAACCTCTCTGAGTTTCCATTTGCTTCTCTAAACTGGGAATTTCACTGCAGTTGTAAATAGACCCATCTGTTTGTGTGTCATTTGGAAAAAGAAGTATTTTGCTGAGGGTACTCTCAGCTGCTCAGGTTGTGTCTCAGGAGAGTGTAGTATTTATTTTCAACGTGCACTGGATGCAGGAGATAGGCACAGGGAATCAGAGTGATTTATTTCTTGTGCATTCCTAATGTTTTTGTAGTTCCAGACTCAACTAGTCATTGACGGGATGTCCCCTTTGACGAGAGACAATTATTTGCTTCTACCAAGCTTTGCAGACCTCTCCCCACAAATGCTACATGCTACCTTCATGTCTTATTTTGTTGCTTATTTTCATGCTTTTAAAGAAAAACTTCAATCTGTCATCATCTCTTCTCACAGATTCTTTGGATGCCGTAAAGTGGCATAGTGAAGTGACTTTGAAAGGGACCTCAGAAAGCAGCTAATCTTGTCCCCTTACCTTACAGTCTCAGAAAGGTTAGGGATCTGCTGAAGGTCACATGGGTCATTGTTCTTCTCAGAACCTCCCTCCTCCTGATGCTCCTCACAGAGCCCTGATTTTTAATGTTATTATTTATTTATTTATTCATTTTTGCAATGAATAAATTGAACCCAGGGGCCTTTTGTCGGCTAGGCCAGTGCTCACCCATGCCTCGAGCCTGAAGCCCTGTTTTTGAAGACAGGTGGTGATATGCTAAATCTACAGGATGCTTTTCTTTCTGGGAAAATAATTGTTCATAAAGTGTTGATTTGGCAAAAGCCAAAAGGTGCTCAGCAGGGATGGTCACTGATTGAAGGCGTCTCTGCCAAGGCAGGTTGCATGGCACTTGCGTCTTCCTGAGAGTTTCCTTTTGGATGGGGGAAAGGGTAGGTAATGCATGGTGCTAGCATGCCTAGGAGGGCTGGCATGTTTGCTTTCTTCATATCACTATTTGGAAATTGGTGTAGAGAAGATGCAGTCCCCACCTCTGCTTGGCTGGGTTTACAGACACACTTCTGAAATCTATTAGCCGGAGAAACTTGGTTCCACCTCACCAGCCCTTGCTTGAGGTTCTCCTTCACTGCTGTACATTTAGAAGACAAAGGAGCCTAGATGAAGATTCACCTCACTCCTTGTGCTCTTTACTGTTTTGACGATGCAAAATAATTCTTGTAATTTCTACATAAGTCATGAGGCATAATAATAAAATGAACACTTTGTCCCACCATTCAACTTATGAACTAGAAAGGTATTTTCCAAAGCATAGTGACATCTTTAATACAGATTACTAATTCCAGTTTGGGGTTTTTAATGCCATGGGAAGTTAACAGAGTAGATGCAAATACAGAGGGTAAGTATTGTTTGGGGAAACTTTTGCTTCAAGTAGTTTTTATGTGTGTGTTTCAATGTATACCCAAAGATAGCAAAGTAGAATATTTCTCTTATTGTGAGCAAAAGAAAAAAAAATTGAGAAATACAGAACTAGAGTATTGACAAAATCATTTAAGTTACTTGTAGTCACATACCTCTACCCTACCACGGGGACCATCTTCCTGAGTTTTTGTTTTTTATTCTCTTGCTCTAAAAATAGTTTTGCCACATACATTATATAATCTTAATTTATTTTTAGATTTTTGTATTTTATAAAAAAACAGTAATAAGAAGCCATCTGTAATTTGCTATGTTCCTATCAATGTTGTTTTTAGGATTCATTCTCATTAGATATAAAATATTGTTTATTCATCTTCAGTGCTGTATAGTATCCCACCATGTGCTCCTTGCATAATTTGTCCATAGACAGCTGAGCTGATTACTAAGTTAAAAAAATTTCTCCTCTTATGAATAACACTGCTATGGATATTCATACACCTCTCTTTTTTCCTCTCGAGTTGTATGCTATGTAGATGTTCAGTGTTCTAAGATAATGGCAGTGCATTGTCCTGAGTTAGTGAATCAATTTTTACCTCACCTGTGGCTCGTGAGAACTCTTAGTTGCTCCACATCCCGACCGACACCTGGCATTTTCAGATTCTTACATTTTGCCCATTTCACCTAAGCTTTCCTCCAATTTTTATTTTGCTTCTTATTTACATTTTTATTAAGGAAACTGTAATTTTAATAAAACCCAGTGAAAAAAATCACTTAGTTTTAATTTTTCTTTCCCACTGCTTGCCTGAAGCTCAGGTTTATAAGTGGCTTACACTGGTCCTTTTCTCTTTGTTTGCAGTCAGTTCCAGAAAGACACAAATCAAATGGCCTTTACTTCAGAGACGGAAAGTGTCGAATAGACTATATTCTTGTGTACAGAAAATCCAACCCTCAGACCGAAAAAAGGGAAGTATTTGAAAGAAATATTAGAGCAGAAGGATTGCAAATGGAGAAAGAGGTAAATAGTTGCTTGGATAAGAACACACACACACATATTCATATCAAGAGTCAATTTAAAAATGGGCTATTAGCCATTGGGTTAACAGAACATTTTATTTGGTCAGAGTTTGCCAATCTTCAATATTTGGGGAATGTTCCAGCAATTAGACATCCAATTTACCTGAGAGCATTTTAGGGGCAATTAAAATATTCTGTTCTGATTGAATAGATCATCTTAAGATGTGGTTATTTTACAGACTCCCGACATCTGCTGCTTCTCTGTATATATTGCATATGGTAAACAAAGCTTTGGGTAAAATGCAGTCAGCCCATCTGAAGGCTACTTTTACATTTCAGGAGACAAAGGGTGTGGGCATCCTTGCTCACCAGAGAGCCAAAACCAAAACACTTGCAAGGTGACTCTTACAAGGTGAAGAGACAGTTGGCTTGTCTTTATCAGGCTCCCAGCTCAAGAGCTACCTTCCCAGTGATTTGCTCTCTTCCTTTCCTGTCTTCTCTGCAGCAGGAGGGTTTGGGGTTTTGTTTTTTCATGAGTGTATATTAATTCTACAGAATAATGGCATTCATTGTATCATTTTCATACAAGTACATGATGTACTTGGATCATATTCACACCCCCCCACTACCCTCTCTTGTCTCACCTCCCCTCCTGTGGTCGCCTTCCTCTTTCTAAATAGTTCCTTTTCTACATTTATGTCTTTTTTAAAAAGCAGACTCCCCATCTGAAAGAAAGCATGTGATATTTGTCTTTCTGAATCTGGCTTATTTTGCTTAACATGATGATCTCTGGCTCCATCCATTTTTCTGCAAATGACACAACTTTACTCTTCTTTATAGTCAAATAAAACTCCATTGTGTATGTATACCACATTTTCTTTTTACCCATGGGGAGTTTTAAGGAAGAACTAAGCACAAGGCTCAGCCAGGCCTCTGATGATAACCCACAGTGGGTCTATTGTGTACCCAGAAACACCACGTGGGTGTTGAACTTGGCCTGTGGACTGAATTAGGTAACTCTGTCAGATTTTCTCCAAACATTGTGCAAGCTCTGGAGCTTTCATAATCAATAAGAAAAACCTATCAATGAGTAAAGATGTTTGCTTCTGCTCCCCAAAGCTTAGAGAGCTATGAAATTGCATGTGCAAGGCTTCGTTTGTACAGAGCTTGCCTACCAACTACAACCCACAGGTCACAGGGAGCACTGACATCAGGAGCGGCTTAGGCCCACACATGATGCTCATCTTGGAGACTTCAGATAAATGGGATTTTCCAGACATGCTAGAGTGACCTCAACCCTGGGATATTAATAATACAGAAGCAGTGATTTTCTGAAATGTTTCCAACAGAAGAATTGAAAATCTGTGAGGTTATGGTTGCCTTAAGTGAATGTGTTCTGATTCTCAGGAAAGGGTTGCCAGCCTGCTCAAAAGACGATCTCAATTTGAGATTCCCTGGAGCAACAAACAGATTAAAATGTCTTGGTTTTTTTCTACCTGCATGGGGTTCCAGAAATTCTTTCCTCTAGCATTTGTGTAGATCAGTTGATGTATCTTGGTCTTTAGGTTCTTACTGAAGCAATTGTGTACTGTCTGCTCCTTCTTTCCTTCCTCCTCTTCCTCTTCCTCCTCCTCTTTCTTCTTCTTTTC